AAATCCTGGGTCTTCATCCTGTTGAATATTTTTGCCAAGCCCTTCTGTCCTGCATTGTTTCTTTTGAGAAATCAGCTGCCAGTCTTATGGGTTCTCCCTTATATGTAATGATTTGTTTTTCTCTCGCTGCTTTTAATATTCTTTCTTTGTATTTAACCTTTGGTATTTTAATTATGATGCGTCTTGGGTGTGGGCCTCTTTGGATCCTGAATTTTGGAATTTCCTGAGCTTCCTGGGGTTTTATGTTCATTTTCTTCACCAGATTAGGGAAGTTTTCCATCATTATTTCTTCAAACAGCTGTTCAAAATCTTGATTTTCTTCAGTTATGCTGATCAGACAAATATTTGGAGCCTTATAGTGTATGCTCCGCTCCTTAAATTATTTTCATAGTCTTGGCATCTTATCTCTTGCCATTCTGATTGAGTGTCCTTGGCTTTCCTGTCCTCTAGATAGGGCATCCTCTTCTTTTCTTTATTCACTTTGTTTATTCCTTTGTTTATTCCATTCAATATACTTCTCATCTCAGATAATGTGTTCTTCATTTCAGACTGGTTCCCTTTTTAAATTTCCATTTCCATTTTTATGTTTTTTATTTGAGCATCTTTATAACCAGTGTTTTGAACTCTGCATCTGTTAGATTGCTTGACTCCATTATTCCTGGATCTCTGTTCTGTTCTCTCATATGGTTTGTTTCTTTGTCTTCCCATTTTGGCTGCTTTTCCATGTCTGTTTCTATGTACTAAGCAAAGCTCCTAAGTCTCCTGGTCTTATTAGTGTGGATTTGTGAAGTAGGTGTCCAGTAGCACAATCCTAAGTGGGGCTCAGCTACAGGACAAATGTAGCTCAAGCCTGTGGCCCTCCAGGGCCACCTGTTAAGATTCAGCAAGCAACCCACAGATGCTGTGCTTATAGTTGCCTCAAAAGGCCACACCAGAAACTGAGGCCAGCTGCCTCCAGTGTGAGTCTAGGCACTGCTCAGCAAGGAGCACCTGACTCTCTAAAGATATACCTGGATGTGGCTTGGGTGGGTCCACAAGTTGGGGGAGACGGGGTTTCAGGGACCTGAAACAGAGCGACCTCTGTTATCCAGTCTGATGATCTCATGGCAAAGGTGGCACTGTGTCCTCGCACTAGGAGCGGGGAGGGCTCAAAAGAGAACACTAGATACCGCCAGCATTTCTGTACAGAACAAGTCTCACCTCGGCCCTCACTCCAACAATGTCTCCCTGTAAGTCTCTGGTGCCCCCTGTGTGCAGTGGAATCAGCACTGGTACTCAGAGTGAGCAGGTCCATCACTGCGAAAATCCGCTCATGGACGAGGCCTCTTTAAGAGGCATCTGCCGCTGCCGCAGCCTCTGTCTCATCAGCCACTGGAGACCAAGTCACCCCACATCCTCACCCTGTCCTACCTTCTGCTGTTGCAGGGTGCTTTCTTGGATTTCTCCCTAGTTGTATGGCTTGTTCATCAAGATCCCAGGCGATTTTTCCTTGCTGCTGCTCCTTGTTTCCTTCACAACTTTGATTTGGTTGCCAGAGGGATAAACAGAGCCTCTATCATCTGTGCCATTTTGGTTGCCCATATATGTTAGCTTTTAATTTTATTTATGGTGTTTTTCTATCAGACAGAAGCTTATAATGTAGTTACATTCACCTTATTTTCCTTTATTATTTTGTGGGATTTTTTTTCTCCTGAGAAATCCTTTTCTGTACTAAGGTTCTGTCTTTTTTCCCAAAAGTTTTTAAATTTGGCTGTTCTCATATAGCCTCTTAATCCAACTGGAATTTATTTAGACTACCATATAAAATGGTATATACTTTTATTTTTATATGATTAATCACTTTCCCCTGCACTATTTATTGAATAATCTCTCTTTTCCTCACTGATTTGTAGTGATAATGATTATAACTATTATTATTATTCAGTGTTCACTAGATATAAGGTAATGTTCTGGGATCTTAACTCATATTAACTACTAATCCTCACAATGGCTCTGAGAATTAGATATTGTAATTATGCCCAAAGATGAAACTACTGAGGCACAGAGATGTTAAGTCATTTGCCCAAGGTCACAGAATTCTCACCCAGGCTTTCTAATTCTAGAACCCTTGTGCATATCCAGTGGGCTAACAATATACTATGTCATATCCATACAGATGTATTTCTGGTTCTCTATTCTGTTCCATTGGTCACTTTGTCTATCGCAGAACTGGTACAACACTTTCTTAATTGCTATTATTTTATAAGCCTTGGCAGCTTTTTTGGTGCTTCTAATTTTCGGATCAGCTTCAGCTTATCAGGCTTCACAAAAATTCCTATTAGAATTTTATCTGTAACCTGTTGAATATATAGATTGGTTTGGGAAAAAATAGATACCTTTATGATATACGAGTTTTCCTATCCATTAACAAGGTCTGTCTCTCCAATTATTCAAGTTTTCTTTGATGAATTTCATAAATTTTTCAGTAATAATATAGAGATGTAGAGCTTTAGGTTAGGCTATTTTGGGGTTTGCTTTTTTATTTTGTTTTGTCACTTTTTCCTAATACCTTTTTAAAAATGAGCTATTATTCTTATATACAAATGCTATTGGTTTTTATTGATTGATCTTATACAGCAATCTTGCCAAACTCCTATTAGTTCTAAAAGTCTCTAGATTCACCTGGATATTTTATTTGGGCAACCCTCATCTGTAAATAAAGGCAATTTTATTATTTTTTTCCTTTTAGTTTTTGGGCCTCTTCATTTCTCTATCCTGTTTTATTGATTTTTGTAGAACAGTCTATTATAAAAGTGATTAGAAGCATTTATTTTTTTTTAGAAACTTTTAAAGTAGGGAGCCTTGTCTTATTTCTTATATTAATGGGATGCTCCTAAAGTCTTATCATTAAATTTGTGTATACTTTAGGTTTTTAATACTCCATTTTATTCAAATTAGGATGTTTCCTTTTATTTCTAGTTTGCTAAAAGTTACAATATTGAATATTATGAAATGCTTTTTTTCTGTATCTCTTGTAATGATCTTCTGGGTTCTTTCCCTCTCTCTGGCCATGCACAATGTTGGATGGTTTATTTATTTTTTTTTATCTGTACAATTTGATGATTTTTTAAAATCTCAAACTTACAGAAAAGTTGCACATACAGTATAAAGAATTTTTTGTGTTGGAATCATTTGAAATTAATTGAGACATCATGTGTTATCTTTCTCCAATACTTTAGTGTATATTTCCTACAAACGAGGACATTCTTTCACATAATCACAATATTACTATCAAAATCAGGAAATTAGCATTAATAGATTGCCACCACCTAATCCCCAAACTGCTCAGATTTCATCAATTGTCCTAATAACTTTCTTTATAACAAAAGGTTCTAGTTCATGGATTGCATTTAGTTTTTATGTCTTAAATATTCTCCTTTTAGTCTGCTAGTAATATGTTAACATGCTTATTTATTTTCTACTGTTAAACCATTCTTAGAGTAACACTATTTGGTCATGATGTTTTATTCTAAAATACTGTTAATGTTAATTTGCTACTATTTTTAGTTAACTTTATTAGTATAATTTATATAAAACAAAATGCACCTATTTCAAGTATATAGTTTGGAGAGTTTTAAGACATGTATTTACCAATTAACCACCACAACCATCAAGATAGAGAACATTTTCATTACCCCAGAGAGTTCTCTCATGGCTCCTTAGAATCACATGCTCCCTACCCCTAGTCCCTATAGATTGATCTGGTCTTTTCTTGAATCTCACATGAAAGGAATCCCACAGTATGTATTCTTTTGTTTCTGGCTTCTTTTGCTCAGTGAAGTATTTGCTTAGTACAGATTCTTTCATGTTGTTGCATGTATCTTCATTTTGTTCCTTTTTATTTCTGCATAGTATTACATTGCGTGGATATATAACAATTTGCTTATCCATTCACCTGTTGATAAACATATGTCTTATTTCCAGTTTGGAAATATTAGGATAAATCTGCTATGAACATATGTATATGGGTCTTTGTGTGGACAAGTGCTTTTATTTCTCTTGAGTGAATATCTAGAAGAGGAATGCTGGGTCATAAAGTATGTTTAACTTTAAAAGCAATTGCTTAATTTTACAGTTCTACAAACAATGTGTAAGAGTTTCATTTGTTACGTATCTTCTTTGACACTTGGTATTTTCAGTCTTTTTCATTTTAGCCAGTTTAGTGAATATATATTGGTGTCTTACTGTGGTTTTAATTGGCTTGAGCACTAATGATATTTAAAATCTTTTCATGTGCTTATTCAACATTTGTAAGTCTCTTTCTATGAAGTATCCAAATATTTTGCCCATTTTTAATTGAATTGTTTTTCTTATCATGGACAAGTTGTAAGAGCTTTTTCTATAATCTGGGTACAATACAGAAATGTATATTTCCTATATTCAGTATAGGAAATATATATTCTGGATATGTATATTTTGTCAGATATACATATTGCTAATATTTTTTCCCAATCTCTGGCTTACCTTTTTGTTTTCTAAACAATGTCTTCCAGAGAGTGAAACGTTTTAATTTTGAGGAAATCTAACTTGTTAATTTTTTTCTTTATAGTTTCTGCTTTTTATAAGAAATCTTTCCTTATATACCCATGTCATAAACATTTTATGTTTTTCATGCCCTTATTATTTGAATATATGAGCATAATGTTGATCTTTAATTCAGAGGTAGATTGAATTCTTTTGGTTTCAAGTAACACAAAGAAATAAAAGAGGCATTGTAATAAGGTTGCAGAGGTATTTCATGGCTCCTGAAGGCAGGCATGCAGGTAGGTCTAAGAAACAGGACCTGGAAAGCTATCAGGAACCCAGGATGTCCTCTCTAGCCCTCGTTTTTTTCCTTCTCTGCAGACTGGCTGGCTCTGACCATGTGGCTCAGAGTCTGTTCCACTTTCCTAGGATAGGGAATCCAATTGGCCCGGCTTGGGTTCAAGGCCCCAGACAGGTCCAGTTAGCCATTGGGGGTCAAGGCTGTATAGTAGAAAACATGCCTGGGGATTGGGGCCACTTCCAAAGAAAAGGGTATCATGTGATCTGCTCACACACTTCAAAAGGTGGTCATTGTTCTATCCCCAACTCATCTTCCACTCCTGTACTTTTTAGTACATTTTCTGACTCTAAACTTTCAGCGTTACTTCTTGCATATTCTGAGCTTTTTCTTTTCTCAATCTGCAGCTGTATTCTTCAGCACTTGTGGAATGTGAGGATCACGATCCATGTAATCATGATAGAAATTTTGATGTGGAAGCAGTAAAGAAAGAAATTAATAGAGGAAGGAGGTTGGTGAGTATAAATGATTTTACTACTCATATAAGACAAGCGGACCCTGGGGAGGGGCAGCTTTCAAAAGAAAGTCTATTTGAATAATAAACTAGGCATAGAGATGTGTCTTGAAAAGCTGAAGGAAATAGGACCTGTATTAGAGATTCTTATTTGACTGAACATTTAATATTTTAAAATAAACTATAACACTCTTCATCAGCAAAGTAGATATGAATTAGAATGGTTTTGGCTAAGTAGCAGGAACCCAGCTCAAACTGGTTTTAATAAAAAAGGTGCTTATTTTCTCACTTAGCGAGAGGAAAAACTGTCTTCAGGGTTGGTTAATTCACTGGCTCAATGTTGTCATCAAAGGCCCATCATCCTCTCCGCCTTCCTGTCCACAAAATCACTTGGTCCCTTATGGTCACAGAGTGGCTGCAGGCAGCAACTGAAGTGTCAGGCTTTCTTGTTCCTGTCTATGGAAGGAGAAAGTTCATCCCAAGCATGGAATAAGAGGCCTTCAGAGAGTCTAATTAGGGCATACCCCTCTTTCTGTTTAATTTCTAGAGGTGACTAACTATTCAGCACCCCACTTGGAGGGTCACCCC